CCTTTTTCACTTCATACTGCTTGTCATTTTAGTAAATACTTTTTTGTTTCCTCTGTTCTGTTTATCCCATTTCCTGGGGTGTAGCGGAAAGCAGGGCCCGTGCCTCGGGTGTGCCTCTGGATTTCCAGCTCTGAGGCTGAGCCTGGCACTGTGGACTGGGCTGTCACCGGAGATTCACTGAGTTCTGCCATTTCTCCACTCTGTTGGTGTAGACTGCTGACTCAACGGCAAAGGGGTGTCTCTCTCAATTCACATCCACCCAGAGCTCCACCGGAGGGCAGTGGACAGTCTCTTTGTATGCCATTTACAGCCTCTGAAAAACGACTGGAGTCAGTTCTGACTCCCCAGCAGTGAGTTTGTGCTTCTGTTCTCCATTTGTTGGTGGTGGTTTATTCAGGACTGTCTGGCTCGCCCAAACTATGTGCTTTGAGGTAGAGGAAGGCAGAAATGCACCCCAGTCCCTTGTGAATGTCCTTCAAGTTCACACTGTTTGTTTATGACCTCTCGTGATTATTTAGGACAGCACACCTCGTCGGGTATAAATTAATGATTGCTGAGAAGTTGAAATGACACCCAGGTACGCTCAGCTTCCCAGGACAGGCCATGATTCAGACTTGGTGGGTTTTCTCTCTCTTAGCCTTCTTTCTGTAATCCTTGGGTTTGGGGAGCAAAAGGTGAAACTAGTGTCTGCCCTGGCTGGTACATGACGTCAGCCTAAAAAAACTCCCTGCTTGCTGTTGAGCCTACTCTGAAGGGTGGAGGGTCAGCGTAGGAGAGGAGGACTCTGGGTGGGATGGAGGGACACAGTGACTGTGGCAGTGGGAACAGGTGTCACAGACAATGAGATTTGCTCAAGATAGGGCAGGGTTCAGAGCCATTGTGCATAGGTTGCTGTGAGTCGTAGTTGACTGGACGTTATAAAACAATGACAGGCAGTAAAGCCATGTCAGGAGGCTCTGGCTGAGCTGCCTGGTATTGATAGGGCAGCAGAGTACAGGCCACAGCAAGAGAACAGGAGACTCCTGGGAGTACAGTTTGGAGGGCTAGCCCTGCTGCCTAAGAGGACATGCAGGAGGCTTCTAGTTTGGCAAGGGCTGTTTGCTGTTGTCAGGTGCCATGGCACCCACCGCAGCTCATAGTGACCCCCGGGAACAGCAGATCTGAACCCGGCCACGTCCTGCCCTAGCCTATGATCAAGCCCATTGCGGTAGTCACTGTGTCAGTCCACCTCCTTGAGGTTCTACTCTCCTCGTTTACTGCCCTCTATCTTTAACAATGTAATCTCTCTCTCCAAGGGCTGATTCCTTCTGAAAATACAGCCAGAGTGAATAGGACAAAAGATGGCACCATTCATAGCAGGAGGAAGTGGATTGCAGGGAAAGGGGTATCATTTAGGATAGATGGACAATCAGTAGGAAGACTCTGGCTGGCTTTGGAAATGTGGGTCAGCAGTCCAGGATGAAGTGCTGGGAAATGGTGGGGAGCTGTGGGGTGAGTGAAACACTGGATGGGAATCTAGAGGCCTCTGAAGGCAGAAAAGACTGCTGGGAAGCTGGGAGGAGCAAATTGAGAGGGTGCTAGGAAGAGCAGGGCAGAAGTGCTGGCTTCAGGGGGAGGGGGTTTTGCACCAGAACCTCTAATTCAGTGAGTTCAGAAGCAAATGGGAGGGAGTGGAGAGGAAACCCACAGCCTCGAGCTGTTGTCAAAGTTGGTGATGTGAAGGGGAAGGCAGGGCTGTAGATTGGGTATAGCTGCTTCTTGGGAGATGCTTAGCTGACAGGATTGTGGGTGTGGTACCAGCATTTAGGAGGTAGGCAGTAACCCAGCCCACAGAACCTCCTCTGGCCCAGGCCACGTTTCTATAGCCCTGTAGGCCTGCTGTAGGCCACCTGGCATGTTCCTTCCCCGGAGCTTCTGGATTTAACAGTCCTCTTCTGTGGTGCCCACAGTCCAGGCTTACCACGTAGTGCTTCTGTTGGAGAAGCTAGGAATGTGTGCACAGTGCCTTGGCATGCTGAGGGGAGCTTGGGGACACTGCAGAGGCTGGTGCAGCTTAGCAGCCATAATTGAGGCATCTTCCTGAGGGAGAGGGAGGCCCTGGGGACCGTGAGTACAGACTTCAGGAGAAGCCAGGGTGGACACTGAGAAGAGCCAGCAGTCATTCTCTGCTCCCACGCACACCTGATAAGACTGTGCCTGAGAACCGCACCTGTGCTCAGGTGTGTCGGAGGTTAGTGGCATGGTCCCACATTGCCAAAGCATTGTCATGTGGAGCCAACTAGGGTGGGATTCACACTGGCTTTCAGAGAGAGAGGAGAGGGATGCAGGGGACTTTCTCACCTGGCCAGTGATAGGCTGTCTTCATGTCCCCTCAAAAAGGTATGACCCCCGGCACAACCGCTGGTTCCAGATCCAGTCGCTGCAACAGGAGCATGCTGACCTGTGTGTGTGTGTGGTGGGCAAGTACATCTATGCGGTGGCGGGCCGAGACTATCACAACGACCTGACTACCGTGGAGCGCTATGATCCCACCACCAACTCCTGGACTTACGTGGCCCCACTCAAGAGGGAGGTAAGGAAGCCCCTCCAGAAATACACACCTCCCCCACCCCTGCTTTCCTTTCCTGGAGGGTTGAGAGTACTAATGTCAATGCCAGTCTTAGGCCAGCCAGGGAACAACCCCTGTGAGCAGACAGTATGTCCCTTGCAAAGAGCTTGCAATGAGATGTGACTGGAGGAACCATGGAGGCTCAACCTGGTTACCTACCTGGGAATCACTCTCAACATGTTACCTTGACCCTATTCATTACAGTCTTGGTGTTTTCTTAAGACTTACTTAGACACCTTGATCTCATTAACTACTTAAACTTGTAGTTCAAGAATAACAGAAGCATTCTCTTGCCTCATTCTACTGAGATAAGCTGGGTTGTTTCTGGAATGTTGAACAACAGGAGGGATGTTAATGGAGATGTTTTATCAGCTTAAATCACAGGCCTGCCCACGCTGTACCCTTCGACTTCTTTGATAGAGACATCCTTAAGGCCAGGGCCACAGCCCAGAGACCTTTTGGAAGCCAGACATGTTTTTTGAAGCTTTATTTGGTATGGATGTTTTGTTCTAAATCATTAACATCTTGCAAAATACCTTGATTTATTCTAATTTGAAGATACTTAAAAGGTTCATTGTAGAGAAATGATATTTTATGGAAATAGCTCTTTAGGGTACTCAAACCCTGGCCAACAACTAAACATTGGCTTCCTGGAGAAAGAGAAGGCCTTGCCAGTCCCACACTTCTCTAGGCTCAAGCCTCTGAGAAGTCTTTGCCCACCAGTACCAGTACTACTGAGGAGCATTGTTACTGTTGTTGTTGTTGTTATGTGCCGTCGAGTCGCTTGCGACTCATAGCGACCCTATGTACAACAGCCCTAAACCCTGCTCTATCCTATGCCAGTTGCATTGCCTCTGACACACCCATCCCGATTACCCCAGTCACTGAATCAATCCACCTCATAGAGGGTCTTCCCCTTCTGCGCTGTCCCTCCACCCTCCCAAGCATGATG